ATTCTGTCATACTCTGTGGGGTCATTTGTTCCTAATGTACACTCCCTCCCAGTTTCCTAATACTGAAAAGGGTCTATTTGCCTTTTTTGGTGTACATTTGGCAACTTCCCTGAACTGGGTTTTGTTTTGGAGCTGGTTTGAGCTCAGTTTTCTTTTGTGTCTATTTTTGCTAGGTAGAGCATTTGGAATTGCTCTACAACAACATACTCTGATATGCTGTCTGACTCTTTGAAAATAGTATTAATTTTTTAATTTAAAAAAAAATTTACTTGTTTGACAATACCATTGTATAAAAAGTGAGCAACAGGGGTCCTAGCCGTGAACCTTTTCTAGAGCTGTGCCAAGTATTTTGAAATCCAACCACACTGTCTGGTCTTAGTTGTTCTCCGTGTATTTCAAAGCATTCCTTTTAATTCAAGTATTTAAGTATCTCAGACTTGTCTCCTCAAAGGTACTGCCTCTGCTGCTGTGTGTATACATTTCTTTCCCTCTTTTCTTCCAGTGCATGCTGGTACAAAGGTCATATCTGGTATTATTTCCTTGTATCTTCCCAGTCTTCCTAAGTTCCTTACAAAAACTGGTCAGATTTGCAAGCTTTTGCTAGAGGGAAATTTGTTTGCAGTTAATAGCTGAGGATTTCGGCTTTTTCCTTTTTTTTAATCAAGTGCTAAGTCTCTCCTGCTAATGCACATGCAAACATGTACACACACATGAAGAACAGTCTGAGGGGAGAACCTTTTTCACCAGCTGCATTCTGAGCCCTTCAGGCGCCTGTGTTTGAGTGTGAGTGCTGCAGTGACAGATACTTGAGCTTAGGCCTTTACAAAGTTACTCCTCACAGATACTTTTTGTTCTTTTCTGATTTGGTTTTGTTTGGTTGGGGGTGAAGTTTTACCTTTGAATTTTGGTAATTCCGCCTTTTTCTTCTTGTTTAGCTATTTCTTCTTGAAGGAAAGTTGTATTTCCTTCTAACAGCCTAACTCAGCCTCATCTGACTGTGCTAGCTTTTACAGACCTTGCTGGCTCTGGCACCCATCGAGCCTGAACTTTTAAGTAATTTAAGAATACTGTTGTGCCTGAAGACTTTATTTTAATTTCCTTTAAAACTGTTTGTTATTTTTTTGCTTTGGGGTTACGTGTTGTTTTGGATTTCTTGTTCAAACAGGGATCTGGGCTGGACTTGTCTCATGACCTGGGACACTTGAAGCAGGCCTTTGTGTAATTCCAGACTATGCCAAGAACACTGCTCCTACAGCTCTACTTCAAGAAAGTAACCTCTTAGAGCCTTTACAAATTGAAATACCCTGTTATATCTCATGATATTTCAAGCTGAGAAAATGAATTTAAATCACTTATTTTTAAAATGTATCTGAATACAGCCATGTGACAAATAGTCCATATTGATGTAGTTCACTGTCACTTCCACCAGATTTATGTCCTGATGTTAAGCATCAAAATAACTACCTCAGTTCTGCCAAGTCCATGATGATACTGGTATTTAATCCATGTAATTTGTTGGAGTTGTTTGGTTGGTTTCTACCCTTTATGCCTGTATTCATATAAAACCATTTGATCTTGGTCATGCTGCCTGTTTTATAAATCCTTTTCCTCAAAGCTTTTGCTGGCGTTGTGAATCTGCTGTTTCCTGCTGGGTGGTTACTGACTCCTTTCCTAACCCTTCTGTCCAGAATATGGATTTTATGCACTGTTGATGTTATAAAAGAGCCATCCATTGCCTTTTAAAGGGGAAGAATAGTTGAACTCAAAACATTGTTATTCATGCTTGATTCTGCTTGAACTTGGGGAAGCTTTGGGTTTGAAATTCACAAGACAGAAGCTGATGTTGAAAGAATCATGAAGAATCTACCCCACCAAACATCTCAGTGGCCATAAAGCAACAGGTCATACTGGGTGTTTGACTTTAATACTTGTTCTCTGTAGAGAGTTTACACAGCTTTCGTCAGCTGTTTCAGTGCTGAAGTGAAGAGGCGTTGCTTACACATGGAAAACAATAAAGTATAGTGTGGATAACAGCATAAACTGTGTGGCTACATAGCAAAAATTACCTCTTATCACACAGTTAAGGTTCTCAAGTCTTGCATTTTACAATAAAAGCAAATACAGTTCTTTGTACGCAGTAAAGGAAAACCCCGAACTTGCTTTTTGCCACACTGAAGCAAAATGCAGGAATGTCACACACACTCTCAGGTTTGTTGTTATATAGGTATCAGTCTTCCAAAATATTGCAGCGTCAGTTACACTTAATGCCTTGCAGCTCCTCACAAATAACTTCTGTCAGGTTTATCTTCAGAGGAGTTGGTGATGCAAACCATCCCATTCTTAGGGAAGAGAGGGAACAAAAATTTGTGATGCAGAATAGTAGTGGTACTTGGCTTTACTAGCAATAAAAGACCACTCTGCCACAGCTGCTGCTCTCCAGAAGTACTGGTGTGGTCTGACAAGAGCCTGGCTGAAGATTTTTACCATTCAACTTCCGGAAATCGTGTCTGTTGAAATAAAACAGCTGCTTTAAAATACAGTTTATAGTTTCACCGTCATTCATGGCAACAGTGGCAAATTCTTCAGTCAGCGTCAAAGAGGGACTTTTCACAAGCAAAGGGAATGATAATGGGTAATGAGTTTAAACCCCAAAAGGTAGGTTTAGATTAGATATTAGGAATAAATTTCTTTACTGTGGGGGCAGTGAGGTACAGGAACAGGTTGCCCAGAGAAGCTGTGGATGCCTTATCTTGAAGCCCCGTCTGTGGAAGTGCTCAAGGACAGCTTGGATGGGGCTTGGAGCAACCTGGTCTAGTGGAAGGTGTCCCTGCCTGTGGCAGGGAGCTTGCCAAACCAAACTCATATTTAGAGAATGCATTAATTTCCATTTCCTGTGCATGGCATTTTAGTGTTTGTACACCCAGAACACCAGCAGGACCAAAAGCACAGTCAGTAAAGCAGTGGCCAAGGAATCCTTTGGCAGTTTGACCTTTCATGCTGTTTAGCACATCCTGTCCACTTGTCACCTGCTTGCTGACCTCTAACAGCATGTCAGCCTTCCAGAGGAATATTTAAGCTTTTTTGTACCTACCTGCATCAATTTAATAGGAACCATTATTGAAAAAGGTGTGGAGAGACAAGTCCATGCCTGGTGACCCAGTGACTACAAAGCAGGGGGGTGCCCTGGTAACAGCAGGCAGGGAATTAAGAAAAGGTAGCATAAGAAAAGCAAGGAGAAGAGCAGTGTAGTTACTACACTCCACTTGCCCTCTCCCATTCAGTTAGTGAGGCAGTAAAAAGACTAGTGAACAACCCCAACCATGTTTCACACACAAAGCTGGAATCACCAATTCTAGGGATGAGCTGTGCTCTACATGTTGGTGCCAAGCAGCCAGGGGTCTCCTTGAAGTGAGCACTGAAGAGGACCAGCAGCAGGGAGAGGTCATGTCACAGAGCACTGCTCTATCTGCACCAAGAGGAGCCACCACCATGCTCTCAGGAAAGTATTTCTGTTTGTCCAGAAAGCTGGGCCATAGACATCTTCATTTCCTGCTTTTCAAGAGCTGTGTGTGTCAGAATGATTGCAAAAAAATATGTAGGGCCTGACCATAGGCCACCTCTGAATTCGGTGTTTAATGCTTATCATGTGCTGCCACTTGCACCTCCCCAGCAGGGTGGGGGAGAGAACAGGAAGAAAATCTCCTGGGTACAGCTGGAGGAGTTTCAGAAGTGGGTGAGGGAATGAAACCACTTGCCCCCGCTCCTTGACACAGGTCAATGCCTGCCACCATCCAAGCAATGCCCACCACGAAAGGCTCTCTTCACCTTCCTCCACCCATTTCATTGCTGAGCATGGCCCAAAGAAAGGAATATTCCCTTGGCCAGTTGGGCTGTCCCAGCTGTGTCTCCTCCCCAGTCCATGCCCCTTTCCCCCAGTGTGCAAGCACTGCCCAGCAAACACCAAAGCACAGCTGCCTTATCAGCAGCATTCCAGCCATGAATCCAAACCACAGTCCCCAGCACTGCTCAGATGGACAACACTCCATCCCAGCCAGAGCCAGCACAGGCAGCTTCAGGTACACAGCTTGAGCCCAGTTGTCTACTAACTCGTTACAGTTCCAGTGGAGAGGAGAGCAAGGTATCACTCTCTCACTATCAGTCACCACTGTCATTTTTTTTTTTTTCAGCTTGAGCAGAAAGATCAGGACACCCAGCAATTAATTTAATTAAGATCTTAAGTAGCTAAGAGCTATAAACTCCACTTGGACTTGTCTGACAGCTCCCAACGTAATCCATCACCTGTCTGTAGATCCATCATAAATATGAAAAAATTTTGCTTCTGTACAGACAAAATTCTTGAGCTTTTCAGTCAATCCAAGGTTTAGAAGCAAACTGTGTGTTTGTCTATTATTTGTTCAGACATTGATGTATTTTAGACAACTACCCAATTGCCTCACTTAAGTAAAAAATGCAACAGGAAGGCTCTAACCAAACACAGGTGACACCAATTCACTGAGAGGGCACTGGCACTTTGGCACTTAAGAAAATTATAAAGGACAGTGCTTTTACCACCACCCAAAAAAACCCCCACAACACACTAACACATAAAACCCAACACAACACAAACAGACAAAATCCAACCACTAATCATCCAAAGAAGTTACTTGAGTCTACTCAAGATTTGTACTTGAACTTGAGATCTACTGGCTCTGCCCCTGGATTCCCTAAACCTCCTCCTATACCCATGCCTTTTGTGAAGGCATGTATTCCAATGTTTTTTTGCATGAAGACAACTCTAATCTTCCCATATTTTTATCTGTGGGCTAAGTTATAAACTAAAAAATACATAACTTTATTAGCAGGCAGCAATTAAATTCTATTCTATTATTGAATACAAGAAGGCATTCAACTGATGCCAGTGGACATTAAACACATCAAACACTTTTCAAACAGATTTTATTTATGCAAAACCAATCCAAAAGTGGTGTGTAAAAGTGAAAAGCTCTTTTTACATATTAATACAAAAAGGGTGTTTTTATACAGTTTCTATGTGTGAAGAGTGAGGATTTGACCATTTTATTTGGTCAAATCCTCACAAAGTTTATTTAAAAATATATAGACATAGGTATTAAGTCATTCTTATTTTCTCTAAAGCTAATTGCTGTACAGTACACAACAGCTAAAATGCTCACAGAACCAAGGGTATCCCATGACAACTTCATTATACAAGCTTTTTGCTTAATCCAGTTAGGAATATTCTTGTTTTGATGCAATGCCTCTGCCCAGTGATTGTGGGCTTTTTGGTTTGGTATTTGGTTTTGCGAGTTTTTTCTAGGGCTTTATTTTATATATACAGTAGTCAAATTAAGAAAAGTTACATTCCTTGAGCTTCCAGTTCAGCTGCTGTTATATCTGGTTCTTCATCACTGTAAATGTTTTCTGCCTGAAGACACAAAACATTACAAGTGATACACACAATTGTTTTTAAACAATATTCTACACTTGATATAGGAAAAAACCCTCAATAACACCAAGGTGGCACAGCCATCATCCCCTCTTTGAAGGTATTTTCTTCCTGCCCTTTCTTAAAGGGCTGCCAAATTTAGAAATGTGCACACAGTGGCTACATTTTGGCAGCTGCCTTCTTGCATTGCTCCATTTCCACAGCAAAAGCAGTAGCCATTTAACCACTAGCCCTTTTATTTTAAACACTTTATCTGGAATTATTTCAACCACAGTCTAAACACACAAAACAAGAGCAGGCACTGAAAAAAGAAGCCTGACCTGTGACACACATTTAAGTCCATTAAGAATTTTTTAACTCAATTTATTCCCAAATTACTTTATTCCACACTTCTAAGATAGCTGATCAATTTCCTGTAATGTAAAGTACTATGAACTAACTGGGGATTTAAAAGGCATCCTGCTTTACAGCCAACATATGGGGGAGAAGGGGGGGCAAGACTTGGCTAATACTGGATATAAGTGTGCAACTACTTTGTTAAGAATAAACCTTAATGTTAATTAGTACCTAGAACTTGGAGTCAAGAATTAACTAGCAGTTACTTTTATTGAAGTTGTTTTAGTCTTGGTTTTCTTTTTAAAGTCTTACACTTTTTATTAGATCAAGAAGTATATGGCACAGACAACTTTCAGTCCTTGAAGGCACAAGCTGCCCCAAGAAGAACAAGCCTTTTCAGTTTCATTTATACAACAAGCTTTAGAGTAACTTAAGAGCTGTTGTGACACTCACCATCTGCCATATCTGCATTATGTTGTCCTCTGATACAGAACAGATTACCCAAGGCTCATTAGGATTCCAACTGAAGTCTGAAATTTTGGCAGTGTGTCCTCCATGAATAAACTGTTAAAAAAACCCCATAAGCTTCAGTAAGCCATTTCAACTCTAGATAAATCTGTTTAAACCCAGGATTCTTAAGTTAAATTCATCATGCTAATGACCACCCAAAGAAAAAACCTGCCACTAGAGAGTCACAACAGACAAAAAGAAGGTGTGTGTTCAAGTGCTTCCATTTGCTGCTTATGGACACAGATGCAGTTGCTGGGACAGCATTTGAGATAACAGTTCCTATTATTACAGCAACAACTGACATCATCAAAATGGTCTCTCTTCACACAGGGCTGGACTGTGAAATGTGAAATCCAGCCATATTTTATTCTGATTATCTATAAGAGCATTACAGAGTCACACAAGAAATGGGGAAACCTTCAGAACTAAAGAGACGAAGCCTACAGCAAACTAAAGCGATGGACTGGAAACCAGGGAGGTGAAAAGATTTATGAACAGCTACAGTTTTAGCAGCACAATGACAAGACATCTCACTGCCACACAGCATGTCAGCACACTGAAACCTGAACAAAAGGGTACCAGCAGCTCAGGAGGCCCATCTTCTGCATCCTCTGCAGACTGCTCTTCTCCAATTTTACTGCAAGAAAGTAGTTTATACTTGTTATTAAAAGGACAGTTGCATTCTCTGTATGCTTAACTGAACAGTTCCTGGCCTTTCTTTCCCTTATTTGCAATTTGTGTTTCTCACTGTAAAATATCTATAAGCACCAGGTATAAAACATCAACTGTCTGGCACTGTCATTACTGAAATGGAATCTTAACTTGTGAAGCATGTGGAGGTAAAAATCACTTACTGATGTGATGCCTAAAGATTTTTAGCCTTTTTCATATTGTAGCTTTGTAGATTTTTAACATATAGTTGTATGATTTCTAGTACTTTTCCTGCCCTCACTCACATTCAGAATAATTAGCTAAACCTTTCTAACACATTCTTGAAATTCTGTTTAGTCTCATTGTTAATAACAGAATTTCTGACAAGGATATCTTGTTTTCCACCAGAAGCTGAGAGACATAACAAGAAATAGAAAAGAAACTCTTGGACCAGCTCCAAAGGAGCAGACCCAAGGGTGTTTTACTGGGCCAGTTGATCTATTGGATGTACCAGCAACTAGATAAACTAATTAATTAACCTTTCAAAAATTGCAGAACTCCTTTGTCACACATACGCATATAGCTATATTTGTGCACCTGAAAGCTTTCATTGAAGAACTGCTTTTTATCCTACCACTTTAACACCGTTGAAGTGGTAGGATAAAAAGTTTTGTCTTTTGAAACTAGGCAACAAGTGTACAACAGAAAACAATGCTATTAGCAAGAAACCCTGATGGAGAAGTAACTTTAGATGTACTGTGCTGTTTCTATTTATACTCAGAAGACCAGACCTGAGGAAAGCTAGAACAACACAAATCAAACCTGCCAAATAATGCAGGCCTGCAGCATTTTTTTTAACCATCTGCTCACACATACTAACAGAAAGGAATTTTCCTCACCTTAGATCCCATACATTAAGGCGATGATTGGTACCACTTGAAGCAAGAATGGTTTCATTATGAGGAGACCAGTAAACCTATTGAAAGGAAACAACTTCAGTGAGCAGTTACTGATTTATAAAGCATATCCTGAATAACCAGCACCGTGGCCACTAATTTTTAACTATACTCTGTAAATCAGTTTCTTCCAGCAAGAGGATATTCAGTAGCTCAAACAAACTGCTTTAATCTTAAGATTTCTCATACTGAACAGACAACATCATTTCACTATCACAGACTTACAATATTTCAGGAAATCTGTCTAAAAATCACTGTTACTTGCACCTAATTAAACAGGCAAAGTTCACAAAATTAGGTTTGAATCCAAATCCTCTCTACAGCATATCATTTTAGAGAAACCTTCTACTTGTACTTAAGGTACTTGTGACACCCAGTATCCTTTTAGCATTAAGTTGTTGACTACTTGCTTCGAAGTCAAGTGGGGAAAGGCAGAAATAAACTACATGGTACTGTTTGTAACTGTCAAACTCAACATAGTGAATTTTGATTCAACAGATTTATTTGTGTTGCAAGAACACAAATCTACATGTTCTTGTCCAAGTCAGTACTCTTCTTGGTTTTTTTTAACATGTTGTAAGTAGCTTACCCACCTGAAAAATCTCATCCTTATGAGACTCAAAAGAATGGAGTTTCAGCCTTAAGTTTCGAAGATCCCACAGAGCCACCATCTGGGAGACACAAGCAACAAGAAACTGGTTTTACTATAATGGCTTTCATCTGCACTACACAGGAATGTAAATTATACACAAGTGAAAACCTTGTCAGCAGAGCCAGTTGTCAGAATGAACTCGCTGTAAGGACTGAAGGACAGACAGTTGACCTCGGCTGTGTGAGCGTCTACGGAGTGGCTTGCCTTGCATGTGGCATTAGATCTTGTGTCCCAGCTGTGGCAGTGAAGGGTTCAGGGCAGGGAGGAAAGAGGGAAAGCAAACAAACTTAAGTTGTTATAGGAAGTTCTTTTTCACTACAGCTTTTATTACTAAACTGAACTCTGAAGTTACAGCTTTCATTCCAAAACCTTCAGTATTTTGTGTTTGTTGTACATGAACAGCTTGCACCATGAAGCTGACATACATATTAGTTACATCTTCTTTTCAAGTGATGTGAACACATTAAATGGCACGTAGATTTCAGTGAATCTGCACCATCACTGTAGCTGATTGCCATAAAGAGCTACATGAAATCACTCCAAAATTCAGACTTTTTTTATCCAAGTGCTGTAGACTAGGTCCAGTGGCAGTGATGCAGTTTTGGTTTTACTTTTTTTTCTTTCATCTATTCTCTGTATTCTTTACACATACATTTGTAGCCTATTGTATTAGTGGTTAGTTTTCCTAGTAGTTTTCCATACCCCTTCCCTAGGCAGAAAGACAAAACATCCTCCAAGGGCCCCTATCCTATCTTGGTTCTTCCTGGCTACCAAGGTTGAAAACAGCTCATGGAGACACATTTTCATAAACAAAGTACAGCCAGTACCAAGGGGGGTGCTCCAGAAAAGGAGTTTGACCCGGGGGGTAATTGCATCAGCAGTTGTCCTCCTAATTGGTGTTTTTTTAAAATTAGCATAATTGACAAACTTATAAAAATGTATCCCCCCCACTGGGGGATGGGCTTTTGTGGACATTCTTCCATAACTGCCCTGGAGGCCTCCAATAAAGATCCACTTTTATATTCCCTCCCATACTAGTATCTAAAAAGTCTGTTTTGTTTCGTTTCCAGGATGAAAACAGGCATCAGCAGGACACAGCAGACCCTACCCAAAAATATCCTAACTTACATCATAAGTTTCTGATCATCTGCCACAGATCCAAACAGAGACTCGTGGAGCAGGTGCCATGCCACGTCTTTCACTACTGCAGAGTGCCCAGTAAAGATGGCTTTTGCATCAACAATCTTGCCCTCTGTGGGTCCAGCATTTACATCCCATAAACATACAGTCTGTAAATAAGCCACAGTCTATTGAACTGCAGACTCTGATTGTATCATCTTTCAAATAAATAATCAATCGCACTCTATATATAAAGAGACGACACTCCACTACTGCAGAGGGCCCAGTAAAGATGGCTTTTGCACCAACAATCTTGCCCTCTGTGGGTGCAGCATTTACATCCCATAAACCACAGTCTATTGAACTGCAGACTCTGATTGTATCATCTTTCAAATAAATAATCAATCGCACTCTATATATAAAGAGACGACACTCCTGCGGCAGTTCTTTGCTTTTGAAAAAGAAAGATCTCATTTATGGCATAATAAGTTAAGTTATCAATCAGCCTTCTGCAAGTTCAAGGCCCAAGGATTATTTAGAAGGTCATAAAAGCAATTTACACTTTTGAAGTTCACAAAGACATTTATAAGCTATTAGTTATTGATCTTTGAGAGTCTTACTAATTTATGGTCTTGACCCAATCCAGTTTAAAGGGTTTTTTCCAGCAGACAACTATAAAAACATTCTCTTTTTACATTAAGAACCTTAAAAAGAACTTGTGGTTGATGACAGCCTAAAACCAACTGACAGCCTTTAGAAATGTAATTACAATATGTGAGAACTTCCCCACATAACAATACACATCTGCACTAGGACAGATTTTCTCCAATTTTCTACTACAACATAAATTAGGAGTTGGGCTTCTTTTACAGAGGAAAATATGTGGTTTTTACATGATCATCTGATGCACTGAGAAGATGGCCACTCAAATTTGAGTTCCATGATAAACCATAGCCTTCCTTCTGGTGTCCTTTTAATCTAAGCTCAGGATTACACTCTCCACTTGGGTCTGAAAGATACAAAATTCCTTTCATTTAGCATGTCCTTGCACACCAATCCATAGAAGCATCATTATCACCCAAGAACTTTGTTTCTGTTGTAATAATTATATTTCATACATGAACCTCTTCAGAGAGTGCTGCTTCTGTCAAGATTCTTTTATGAGAGTGAGCATAACCAGGAAGTTAAAGTCGCTGAAGATATGGGCCTTCTCCTTTGGGTTCCAGAGCCCAGCAACTCTCTCCCAATCACAGTTAAACACAAGTTTATCCCTCTATGACAAGAGGCATTTTGCTTAGCTCCAAGCAGTCCGACCCACCTGGTTTTGAAGGACGTTTAGTGTAGTCAAACACCAGCACATCAGCAGAGGGTGTTTTTGTCGCAACGATGCGGGGATTCTGAGGCATGTAACGGGCACGGTTCACTTCACCCTCATGGTTAATTTTAATCTCCATCTCAATTTTGCCAGTCACAGATCCAAAGCCACCAAATTCTACAGTTGTGAGAAAAACGTCAGTTTATCCCATCCATTATTTTAGACTACTGAAACAGCATTTCACAGCATCTTCCCTACTCCAAGAAACAGTGGTAGCACCTTATTAAACTCCAGCGAAGACTAGGAAAGACTACACTATGTAACACAATAGCATTCACACTTCTGATATTTAGAATCCTCTTTCAAAGCTTTAGTTTTTATTTGAGGTAGATGTGCACCAGTTTTCACCACAACTGAGAGCTGGTAGACATTTTAGTAGGGATTGCATGTCAATGTTACCTAAGCTCTTATAAAACAAAATTTCTTCTTTTCAGTTGTCTAGAATTAGTGTGGACTGGTAAGTATTTGTCCACTTTTGTATTTAATATAAAGTTAGAACACCATTATCAGAACAACTGAAAGCAGTAATGACATTGCTCAAAGAGAACCCAAGAATGCTGCATACCCACCTCCTTTCTCACTGTCAGACTTCAAATCATCAAACTGATAATTGTTGGGAATCTGGACTCTGGCGACAACCAGGTGGTTCTGTTCATCAGATGTGTGTGTTCCCAAAACCAGTCAGTGCAGAGCATAATCCTTTCCTTCTGGCCTGTTTAGAATAATAAATATTGGAATAAAATTATGTGTTCAGCTCCAGAAGTTCCATAGCTTGCATCAATAATCCTGAAGGTGCAAACCTCTTCAGGGAGTTAGAAAAGAGACCCTCCCTAAGAGATCCTCCCCTTTGTTGCAAGGCCTTGTGTAATAAAGCAAACTGGACTCTGCCATGAGCCAAAGACACAACCAGCAAGGTTGACAATACAGGGCAGTAAACAGTGCCACTGTGGCTTGAAAGGGACAGTTACAGTTTGCACAGCAGCTAAAGGGCACAGCAATATCTACTTTGGTCTAATTTCCCTAGAGTTTCACAGTATTGATTTAGGAAACAATCAATACTCCTTTCCACAAAACATAAATCCTGAGGAGACAAGTGGCAACCTATTTTAGTTACTTCTCTTAGGAGCTTTTACCAGTTACCTGAACTAGAATCAAATTTCTCTTTTGGTGGTGGAATGCAACATTTAGTTAAAAGTGAACAGCTGGATGGATGGTGCCATTCATCTCTGAAAGGACAAACTTGAGCAGTAAAAACCAAGCAACCTCTGCATTCTTGAATGCAACAAACTAATTATGTTTCCTGAATCTAAGCAATCCAGATTCATTTGGGTAATCATAAACAACCACAGGTATTACTACACCACTTCCAAGTGTAGAGGGGGGTAAAACACAAAACCAAACAAGAAACACAATGCACATGCACTTACTTGCATCTGGAACAGGTGTCCCATCATGTCAGACACCATACAAAGAGGCAGTCCTTGCCTTAAATAGCTTACATACTTTGACACTGGATAATTGGAAATACCAGGTTTTAAACTGAATATTAAGTCAATCTGCAAAATATGAGGCAAGCAGAAGTGTTCCTCATAAGGGCTCCACACCCTCAAATCCCCGCTGCATTTTCTCCATGCCATGACTATTTAGCTCACATCTCTCAACATCATCCCCAAACATTCTGGTACCAAATAAAGTGATCACCTACCCAACACGTAAAACATCCCACATGTAAAGTGGGACTTTATAGAAGAAAGAGACCATCCTCTGATAATTGCATGACACTTACACACTTTATTTTAAAATCTACCTAAATCCACATTACACCAGTCCTTGTCCACTACCTCAGTGGAGTCCTGAGTTGTTACTGCAATAATTTAAGTTCTGTAGTAGCTGGCACATGAACAGATTTTATCCCCATCTTCATGATTCTTTTAGAAATTAAACTGAACCCACAATTTTTTCAACAGGATGTGGAAGAATGGGAAATTTAAACATGTGAATTCAGCAATGAACCAGGGACAAAACCAGGATGCAAAGAACTAGTTTTAGAATATTCTCTTAAGTAAGTCCAGGCTTAAAAGATACCAAGTTTATACTATACTATAGATATTATAGCTTGGATGGAACAATATATACAGTGCACATGAGAAAAATCAGTCTTTAAGAATGAGCTAATTTAGTAGATAGATTTCTCGATCCGAATTAACTATAGATGAGCACTAGATCTCTTATTTAGAAATAAATTGAGAAAGATTTCTGTGTTCACACCTCACAACACCTTCTGCTAGGCTAACCTAGACTTCAGTGAAGTATCAACTTGTGACCTTGTTCCTGTAAGTAAAATAAAGAGCTACAGAATAACAAAGAGAAGTCTAATCCAAATTGCTCTCGTCTTGCATGGTTCTTATCCTCAAGGTACTCATCACACACGGTTAAGTGAAAGGATCCGAGCGGCTCCGCGGCACCTTCCCGTCCCTCACCTGCTGACACCAGGCAGCCACTGCACCGTGAGGCTGGGCCACTCCAGGGCGTGTGTCATCACCAGGTCGTACAAGAACGGGGTGTTTTTCTTCCAGATCTTGTACTCCTCGCTGATGACACGCTCCTCCACCGTGTCCTCCAGCACTGCAGGAAGGGAAGGGATGAACCGAGGGTGGAGGGGGTGAACGGAGCCGCAGCCCCGGCCGGGGCTCTACCGAGGCGGGGACGGGACAGGAGCGGGGGTCCCGCAGGACCCTCGGGGCGGCCGGCGGGACCGACACTACAGCCAGCCATCCCAGCTCCCACCTCCCGCGGGAGCGCCTCGGGGAGGAATCCCGGAGCGCCCCAGCTCCGCTCCGCCATCCCGGGGCACCCTCACACCCCACCGCCCGGCCGGGGCCAGGGAGGGGGCTCCTACCGTCCCTGCTCGCCATGTCGGGAGAGACGCGGCGCCGGGAGGGAGCGGAGGGGGCAGGGAGAAACGGAGGAGGCGGGGAAGGAGGCACAGGAGACCCTGGAAAGGCAGGCAGGCGGGAGAGAGAGAGAAGAGGCGAGGATGCGCAGGGGGCGCGGATGCCGCGGGAAGCACCCCAGGCCCTGAAAGGGCTGCCGGGCTAGGGCGGGGCGGGGCGGGGCGGGGCGGGCCCGGGGGAAGGCGGAGACAAGGCGGAGGCGGGGCCGGGACAAGGCGGAGGCGGGGCCGGGACAAGCGGAGGCGGGCCGGGACAAGCGGAGGCGAGCGCGCTGCGCTGCGGCCGCGAGGTGGGGCTGTAGGTAAAGCAGCACCACCGAGGACAGCTCTATTACGCCAGTCTTACCTAATGAGCCTAAATCATACTAAAAACGTGGATATTGATCCCCCTTCGCATCTAGAAATGACAGAATTATTGAATCGTAGACTGGTTTGGGTTGGAAGGGACCTTAAAGATCAGCTCATTCCAACTACCTTGTTGGGCAGGGCTGCCCTCCACTAGACCCGGTAAATAAATCTATAAGTCAAAATGGTTACAGTGGCCACAGCTGAATAGTTACTGTTTCTTCAGCAGTGGTGCTGAATATGTCTTAGTTTTCTAGAAGAAATGTGTGTTTGAACTATTCTTTAGTTGCAGTTTTGGCATGGAAGGCACTGAACTGCATTACTGAGCTGTCAGACACACAAGATCAGTTCAGGGTTACCAGAGTTTTAAATTCTGTCGCTCTCTAATGGGGTCAGTGGTGATGTCTCATACCCTGGCAAGTGGCATGGCTTTGTTTAAGCAGCCATGTACAAATCAAACATATGGCCCTACCACCATCCAAATCACACATACAGCCTTACCACCATGCCTGCCCAGCCTTGCTGATCTCTCCTTTCAGGAATCAGTGGACAAAAGATTGTTTAAAGCCAGCTGGATGGAGCTCTGAGCAACCCGGTCTAGTGGAAGGTGTCCCTGCCCTGGTCAGGGGCATTGTAACTACATGATCTTTAAGGCCCCTTCCAACTCAAACCATTCTATGATTCTATGACTTAATTTAACTGCTTTCAATTCAGCTTAAATGAATACTGCTTGCCTTAACCAGGGTAGATCTTTCTGGCAGCTAATAACACTTTCCAGAACAATAATGGAAATAGAGGCAGTTAAGAAACAGGTTAGATTCTCCCAAATGTCCTTAAAGATTCAAAGGAACTTTTTGTCTCCAAATAGCATGTACTTTCTTGTCATGTTGTAAATTAGAGTCTTAAGATGAGTCCTTGCTTCAGTGTTAAACTCACAGAGATGAATCCTGTATCACTAAGGCTCATGACTGGAGTCCCAGAAGGGAAGGAAATCAACTCTTAAGTGAAGCTCACTGTGCTCCGCTATAGATGGTGACAGGAGAGAGAGGGAAGCAGCCAAATAATAGCTGGCATTTTAATTTCCCCTCTGTGAGGACACTCTTCATGGACTGAGCCTTCTAGGGTATGGACACAAGTTTTTCAAACAAGGAATCCAGTTCTGGAAAATGTTTATGTCTAGCAAAGGTAGGACACTCTGAGGCTCTTAACAGCAGCCAAAGGTTGCAGCATGGGAATCAGGGAATAAGACTGAAGAAGGCAGCCAGCTCCTCCAACTGGAAGCTTTCCCTAATAAACTATTGCTTTTCTGACCAGGGTGTTAAAAAAAGAAATCTTTTGGTGAAGTTAAATAAGTACATATTAATCTTTACCTTAATGCACACAGATTGGAATTATACCTGTGCATGGCTTACTTATTTAATAAGAATCCTGTTGAATTGCACAGAAGCTGTACAGCAGTCAGCTCCATAGGAGTGCACGAGTTAACACAGGGCCTTGTCCTGCCAGATGTGGCACCAGCTTCCCTTTGGCACTGCCTGCTCGATGCTTTGGTGTTTGCTGCCAGGAATGTGTCTACTCCTACAAAGTGCTGAGGCCTTCCTAAAACATTTTCAGGGTGAAAACTGAGCCTTTCAGAGCCTATGTGTTGTTGCAGAATGTTGATCACTTAAACTTCAGATAATGGATAAAGGAAATCTCTGTCAGGCTTCCTGGCTTTAAGTGACCTCTGTTAGCTCTCCCAGAAGTGTGATTACACGACTCCTCAAAAGATGAAGCACATATAAACATTTGGCTGTGATGCTCTTTGTGATTTTGCTGTAAACAGCAGTATTTGTGGCCACAGCTTACCTGGAATATGATAGGGAAAATGTGAATTGGTTTTGAAAAATAATGGACAAAATTGTTCTTCAATGATGTCATGTAGGGCTTAGCTGAACTATAAGTGAAGAATTGCTCCCCAGCCCTCCACAATTTTTTGCTGACTCTGTTTAGGATCTGGAAATCAAGTTGGATTGTAATAGGTTCCAGAACTAGTCCTAGCTTTGGTGAACAAAACCTGTTACATCTACATGTCAAAATGGTTGGTAAGTGACCAGCACAGTTCTCTTCTCCTTGTTAACAATTACACTTGGACACAACCACATTTTCTCTTCATTTAAATTGTGCACCAAAAATCCTGTTATTAAGTGCTCTTCTCCCATTGAGATTTATCATGGAAGAGACAATTTATAACACTCCATATATCAAAGACAGCACATCATTTACTCTTATGTTGGTTATTTGCAATTCATTGGCATGGTCATATCTGTGGCAACACATCTAAAACATATCCTTTGATTCTCACACTTTGTAAGGAAAGCAATTATGCATGGCTGTTGTTCATCATTTGCGGTATGTGTAAAATGCACCACAAATTAGTTCAGAAATGAAAGAGTGACTTGAATCATAAGCTTTATTTTTATTAAGCTATACTTCTTTCAAACCTAAGCATCAAATAGTGCATCTTCATTTCAGTAAAAAAAACCACCATCTCCTGCATCCTCAATTGTATGTGCTGCATCATGCTTCAAATTGCAGATATATTTATTAGGAATTATACGCACTGGTTAATTTTAGCTTGAAGACAGGTATGCTGATATATTATTCTGCAAAGAATTAGCTGGCTTGCTGTTGCTTCTTTCTCTTATACATTATGCAGAAGTGATGGATGTTCCTAGCATAACTCAGCAAGTAGGTGTAGGTATTACTGTGAATGACCATCTCAGTCAGAAAATTGGGAAGGGCTAAACAATTTTGCACAAAAACTCCAAACTGCCCATTGGAAAAGTAAAATAGCAGCCTCAGCAATTATTATACTCTAACATATTTGCTGTCATTGCATAGTCCCAGTAGCCTGTTTGGAATAATGCATAATTTTCTTAAAACATGTTTATAAGAAAAGCACACTTCATTTTAATTCACTCAGAATTTCTTGAAATGTGACCATGTTTATTTTCTCCACTGGTCATCCAATATTTCTTTTTATTTACCCAGCAATTATCATCTCCCCAGTATCAATCACACCTAACCAATATCCTGCTGTCACAAAAGATCTTGAGCTGTAGCCATGTCTTGAACATGTTCTCTGTGACATGCAGGTTGGGATTTGTCTAATGACAGCACGTCTCCGATAGCTCACTTCTAAATAGCTGAGACTGTGTTTTATCCTGATGTGCAACATCTGTGTGCTGCACAGCCATGTGCAATTGGCAGCTCTTGCTTTGCATTGAATAAAGAGCATTTATGGCAATGTCAGTACTTAGGGGAAAGCTTGACTCACTGGGATTATATCCAGCGTTGTAGACAAATACTCCTCTTGCACCTTCTAGGTGGCATTGCTCCTACCACTGGGATGCTGCCGTGGGAACTAATATGCTGCAGGGTTTGAGTAACCAGCACTGTTTGTCACACTTTCAGCTGACTGTTGTAGATTGTATTGAATTTCAAGCTGCAAATGGGAGGAAATCCTACAGCAGTTTTGTGGACTCTTTCAGTATTCAGGAATATAGAGTGTTTTACCTTTGAAGTGGAATATGTTTATTCTGTGAGGCACAAACCAAGCTTGTTCTCATATAACAAGTCCCTCCTTCACCTCCCAAAGCAGCACTGCACTGAGCTAAGACTAATCCAACTCTGCTAAACGCTTTTTTAGTTGCTTGGATGGACATGGCAATATTCCCTCAACAACTGGGCTTACTGGGCTATTTCTGTGCTCTGTGACATTTATTTAGCATTTTCTATGCTTTTTTAAAAAAAATAATTCCATGTAGAATAGAAGGTAGATTATTTGAGAAATAGATATCAATGTTTATATAACTGGCTTGGTACACTTTTATTAATTTTGCACAGAGTACTGAAACTGGTTGAATTTCAGAAGAGCAGGAGAATAGTAATTTTTAACATGTCATCTTATGAAACAGTGCCGCAATATGCGCTCTTTTGCATGCTTTATATTTCCAATATGTGTTTTCATTGTATAGTCTGCTGTAGCTCTGCAGCCTCTGGCCTGGACAGGTTATTGCCCATATGCAGAGTTGCAGACCTGTAAGGATATTAAAAGAAATGGCAGAGAATATTTTGCTCAGCAGAAAATACTTTGGCTTTTTGATAGATGTAGCAGATAATGCAAATTTTTACAATAAACAACCTATTTTCCTAGAAGTACAAATGCTGAAATTAATGCCAACAGGGAGATTTTCAATAAAATGAAAGAGAATTCTGGCTTCTAAATCTTCCAGCATTTGGCTTAATGGAGATCCTTGTTGCTTGTTGCCTTGGCCCCCCTCTTTGTGATCTTGGAAGAACTTGGGGAGCACAAATTGGGTAGTTCCAAGTTTGTGTCTGGGTCACAGAAATCAGAGGAGACTGTAATCCAGACACTGCTGTTTTCAGTTATATGGAAAGGAGTCGAGGCAAACTGCTGCTCTCAGTGATGTGCCAAAGCACAGGAAAGTCTCAGCCTTTCATGCCAAAGAAGGTGAAAGGGAGTTGTTTATTATAATCCATTTCCTCTTCAACTTCCACTCTAGGGTTTAAAAGCCTCTGCAAGTATTCAGTGAAGGAAAGTGATCTCCACTCCTGCCTTCTGATCCTTGGGAATGTCTCTCCCCACCTGAGCTGCCTGGCCTTCTTTTTCAGAGACTTCTCTGAGGTCACCATATGGTTTCTCTCTGTGTTCTTAACTCACTCTTTTGAGATTTGAAGCAATTAATAACAGCATTATCTTCAAGGTTTGGGATATCTCAGAGGT